TCATAAAAAATGAAAATTCAAAAATCAGGCAAATTTCATATGTCCAATTCACGCCAACTAAATTGAAAAGCTCTTTGTGGAGTGTTACACGGACCATTAATGGTTGCAATATTTATCATCAACAAAACAAGATGAAAAATGAACCCTTCAACATGTGTATTCAAACATATTCACACCTGGAAATCAGCAGCACTTAGAATGTGTCTTCCATCAGGACTCCACCTTGCACCAACTAGACCAGCTGATCCTTCATCTATTTTACATGTCCAGTCTGGCTTTTCAAGAGACCAAACCTATTTTTGAAACAAAAATAAAGCTTCATCACCAGATCTTCCACAAATTAAATTGGCTTTCAATAAGTTGAATTTCTGCAGTCGTATTTGTAGAACAAATAAAGTATGTTTATCGAGGCTATACTACTGTACTGTGTGCTTATTAACAATGATCCAATTGTACAGGTACATAACAATTACTAAATTATTAGAAAGTAGACTAGGCTATGTAGGACTAATTTTTACCTGTATTAATGCTCTTTTGAACATTGCACACATGACATACAAAGAATCTGAAGACCACTGTAAAGACAGGATGAAAATTAATGCAATGTACTTAATATTGCATTTGAGAATGCTTTTGTAAACTGAAACCCACCCCTCCCCCTCCCCTCTACCTTCACCTTCACATCAACGCACGCCCTAGGGCTTCTCTATCACTCACAGATCTAACTATGAAACAAACTCTGGGCAGCCACCCAAGACAAAAATCGTGAAGTGCACTTTGCAATAGACTGCCATCAATCCAACAAGTTGACATCATTTACACGTGTTTGGATTGGCCCCGACAGGCCCGGTGAGGGTGGCTCATAATACTTGTAAGCAATCGACCGAAGTTTTGGCACCTTTTGAATCGCACACACGTGTAAATGGTGCAAGGTGTTTGATTGACAGCAGTCTATTGCAAAGTGCATGCCGCGATTTTTGTCTGGGGTGGCCGCATAGCAATGCAAACGCTAGTAAGTCAGGGCACAACAAAATCAAATATTTGAACCCTGAAACAACCTGGGCTAGCTGATCAAAGTCATGGCATAACCCTGTAGCAATCTTTGAGGTGATCAAAGTCAGGCCAGGGCAAACTCACAGATTGAAACTTAAAAAAACTCTGGGCTGATCTAAGTCAGGACAATGACTAACTCACAAATAAAACCCTGCGACAACCCCTGGACTAATCTAATTAAGTTAGGGCACAGCTTTTAAACTCACAGATCTAACCCTAAAACAAACTCGGGCTGATCAAAACTAATTTAGCCAAAGCTCACAAATCAAATTGGAATGGAAGAAGGAAATTTATAAATAGCTTGTTAGGTTTTGTGGAGGAAGGAAAACTTTAAAATTAAACGACTGAAAGCGCTGAAGTATGTGTTAACTGCATCAAAACATATAAACCAGTGCTGTGTGCGATAGAAGCGAAACTTGACCCATCCAGTGACTATTGTTCTTACTATACCTCTATGCTTTGTATATTATCTAGACATGTGTAAAGCTGAAGGATCTGAAGGGTTTTGACATCTCGTAGTATTAGTCGATAACCAACACAGTTTGCCTGGAAAGTATAAAAGAAAACGTCAGTTTTGAAAACATATAAAACTGACCTCCATGCAGCGGATGACAGCTAAAGTCTCACCATGTATTTTCCATTTGGAGAAAACTTGCACAACTGGTTTGTTTGTTTGAAGAGTTCAGAGAAGTTCATTGTTTGTTTGTGCTTTGGACAAGTCTTCGCTTAACTGTTTACGAGTAAAATCCTAAAAACAAAGCAAACAAATTGATTACAGCCCATTTCGAACAACCCGCCATTTGTATATGCCCTCTGTCGCTTCTCCGAAACCACAGACGACAAAACAATAAATCGATATCTTTACGGAAAACCAACTAATAATGACAAAATATTTCCAATTTTTCTATATTACCGATTTCAAAATTCGACAAAATTTTTTTATTTATATCACGTAAAGAATAGAAGAAAAAAACAAAAAGGTAAACCTAGGTGAGAAAAATCTGCATGTGTACGAGGGTTTTTTTCGGTTTAATATTCTGAGATATTCGATGTTGACCCGATAAGATATCGATCACGGGATTTGAGTCGCGCATGTTTTATAACGAGATACCTCAGCTTGTTACAGCGAAGGAATCAGTGTTAAAGTTGACGTGTGTTTTGTTGAAAGGGGGAAGATATAATTGTGTTAAAATCTATTTCAATACTTTGTTAGTTTTATTTTATGATCATGGTTTTCGACAAAATAAGAAATTTGTCAACACATATGGTAAGTCGTACGATATACATTTTCGTCAAACCAACTCAGTGTAAAGCTTTATTGTAGGGACTTCTAACCTTTGATGGAGTTGATCTTTATTCTTTCCAGGATTTTGAGGGCCAGAAACTGGCAGAGAAGCTATTCCACATCATCATCCTTTCCTTTGGCGTAAGTTCCACTTCATTAACTACGTGTTTTATATATGTATTAGCCGTTTGATTCGCTCTACAGTAATTCTGTAGGGGAGGGGGGTCAGAGAAAAAACAAAATTACAGAATTTGTATAGAAGAAAATTATGAGTTCCTGGGGGGTAGGGAGGTCATTTTACAAATTTCCTCCATGGTGGGGTATGGATATTTCTGGAACTACACATTGTATAATCACGTCCAACTGAGCGACAGTGTTTATGCAACAGGAGCAGTAAGAGCTTTTAAACATGAACATGCCCAAAAATCTATAACCTGAGCAGATTACAATACAACAACTTTATTTCAAGAAGGAAATGCAATAACCTAAAGTCCTTTTTTTTAAAGTCCGTTTTTCACTAGGGTAGCACTTAATAGCTAGTGGCTAACAAACCTGTGGCCCTCATTCCATGATCGAATCGGAATTTAGAAGTTGATTTTTGCGGAGGGAGGAAAACCGGAGAACCTGGAAAACCCTCGAAGCACAGGAGAAAACCAACAAACAACTTTACTCATATACAACACCGATCCCGACAGGACTCGAACTCGGGTTGCATTGATGAGAGGCAAGCGCTCACACCGCTATATGCCACCCGTGCTTCCCGTAACCTACTGTATTACAATTTTTTAACTTTCAGCCACTCAGATTGGCAATGTGTTATGAGGCTGTACAGTGGTACTCCATCAATTTCGAGGACTCATAACCTAGAGGAAATTTCTATTAGCAGATGGGAGGGCTTTTTGACCATTTTAGAAACAAGTGATAGAGATTATCATCACCAAGGCCCCTGAGATTACGTGGGACACTTTCTTTGTTTCATACAATTCTCTGTCTGATATTAACCTGCCCTAAATTTAACTGAATTCTGAATTTTTTTCTAATACCTTTTTCTTTTGCCATATTTATGCAGAAAAGTATCCCCTGTAACAATCCCAGATGCATTTGTGCAACAACACCCTCCCCAGTCTTTTTAAATGGGCAATTTAATTGGGGGATTACAATTTATTGGTGGGGCTTTGGGACAAGTCATTTTTTAAAAATAGGGAATGGGTCACCATTTCTTTAGAAAGGGTGGTAGGACAAATTGCACCTCATGAAAAGGGGGACAGTTCAGGAAAAATCTTGGTTACTATAAGAGACCTGCAGGGCTCAAAATAGAAAACATTATAAAATAACTGTTTTGAATGTCGCGTTCTGATTGGTTTAGAGCGCGTGCTTAATGAGAGCACATTGCACGCGCGCGCACTTTCCGTTGCATCATCCTTATCTATTATTGTAATTTGTATTTTATAAAAGAAATAAAAAACTTGCTTGCTGTGCTGTGTGGAGTCATACATGTAAAGCACTTGGGGATTGGCAAAACACTCGAGAAGTGTCCAGAAGCACTCCGCTATGCATTGTGCTTCTCCTAACACTTCTCTTGTGTTCTGCCAACCCCTGCATGCTTTATGACAGCACACAACACGCGTGTGCGTTTTCTATTTCTTCAATTTTAGCCTGCCATAGTAGATAAAGAAGCATGGTACATGTAAAAGAAGGTCATCCCAGTAAACTTTGCATACCATTTCAATATTCATTTGGCAGTGCATTGTTATTTTCTCCTACCAAACCTGACATATGTCCTGTCATTTGGCCATTGGCAGGCAGCTATTTCAAGCCCTGACATGTCATTATTTAGATTGGGGGAGAGGGTGGTGTAACGCGGTGGGCATGCTGTGCTTGGTTCTATGGTATATAGTAGTACAGCCAATCAAAATGCAGAATTTGTCCTCTTACTTTAGCTTACTTACTGTATTTAGTTTAGTTTATTTACAAGAATGATTCTATTAATATTACAGATAGTTGGCTTTGTCTGGGGTTATTGTATCCAACAGTTTGGAGCTACTGTTATTTTTCTGTTTGCTGGATTCTTTGTTAGTTGTCTGGTAAGTAACTTGTTCAACTAACTGAAAATTTATATGCAGATGTACACAGACTGTCTGTTAATTTCAAAATCAAGGTTACACACACACAAAACTGGCAGATTTTGAGTAAAAAAGATTACCAAAGAGAGGGATAAATCACCTACATAGTCTTTTCCTTCCTGTTAACAAGTGTAATTTCGAAATCTGTATTTTACGCTTTTAAATTGTTTCTCTTAGGTTGTTCTTCCACCATGGCCCTGTTTTCGAAGAAATCCTCTGGTATGGCAGAAACCAAGGCCAACCAAACAGCCAACAGATAGTAAGAAAGATGAAAAATCAGGGAAGAAAAAACAAAAAGCTAACTAGAAATATCACTGTTCATGTGTACATGTAGACATTATTTATATCCCAGTTCTGAAGATTACGAAATGTACTTCTCATAGATAGAGTATAATAAAGTTTATTGTCTTTACTCAATAATTATTTTGGACTGATTTACATGGCGTAAATCACTACATGTGAGAACTGATGATGAGGACGTCAAAAGACATTAAACTAGTATCAGTTTTTTGAAAAGGCAGAACTGCTTATTCTTCTGCTATAAATTTTTATTAAGTTTAGAGAAAATGAAAAATCTCCTAGAAAGGCATAAAGAAAAATTTGAAATTTTATTTCAAACTTGAGAAACTGTAAAACATTTCTTTAGTCTATGAATGTTTGGTATAAAGGTACATATATGTAGTTAATAAAACGTCTGCATTAATTTCGTGGTGCAAAATATTCATATCTGTTAATGATCATATCCACTGTATTGAGTATTCGAAATTTTAAAATTCAGTGGTGGTCGAGCCTACAGTCATTCTCCTAGAAACCTTCTGCTCTATAAGATCAGTCTAATGAGGTGCATTTTGGCCAATCAAAACTCTTAACTGATCCACTATAAAATTTATTTATGCTCAACTGCAAAGTTTATCATTTCTACCATTATAGTTATAGTGTATGCTACAACTGAACAGTTTGGCAAAGTGTTCCAGGGGTCACGCCACTTGTAGGGTTTTCATTAGGGGTTGTGCATTGGAGAATGCTCTGGTAATTGAGCAAAATTCTCTGGCTTCAACTACGGTACCATTAAAGACTTTGGTAATTTTTTTAAATGTTCACCTCGCCCCTTGACTCTCCAGCATTTCATCATCTTCCATTATCTCAAAGTGTAATGAAAACCCTGACTTGCATGACAAAATTAATATAACCAATTTTGACTATGAAAGCATAACTTCAGAGTAACAGGGTGCTTACCATTATTTATCTCATAGATACTGAGATTTACACACGGAAATCTACTTTAGTAAATTCTCGTTCGTGTGCTGAATTTAGCCAATGAGAAAGGCGAACGATGTTTTTCCTAGTGAAAAAAGACCGTTCACATTTCTGATTGGACGAACGATGTATTTTCACTAGTGAAAAATTATCGTTCGTCCGATCAGAAACAAGATCGACGAAGCCTCACTGTGTCAACAAACTGGCGCCTTTGCAACTTGAGCGAAAATGGCTGCAGAAAGCTCCAGATTTGTGTCACTCGACAATTCAGTAGAGTCGAACAAGAAAATACAAATACTGTGAAAAAGACGACAAGAGATGTTTCCTTGTTAACCAAGTTTCTTCAAACTAAAGGTGAAACTCGCAGCGAGATAGCCGACATTCCTCCTGCCGAGCTGAATGAACTCTGTGAGTTTTTCGTGTGTGTACGAACCAAAGAAGGCCAAGAGTACGAACCGTCGTCGCTACGAGGGATGTTGTCTAGTTTTGAAAGGCATCTTAAATCAAAGTCCTATCCAAACAGCATTATCAATGATCTTGTGTTTGAAAAAACGCGAAAAACACTATCCTCCAAGCAGAAACAGCTAAAGAAACTAGGGAAGGGAAACAAACCTRACGCTTTCGTCGCCATTACAGATGACGAAATTAAGATATTATACGACAAAGGACACCACTTACTCCGCTCTACGAAAACCCTCCAAAGCAGCGGAAAAGAATAAGAATTCAAAGTGATTCTGATGATTAGTAATTTCTATCACTAACGTAGCCACAGTATGCATTTTTTTATTCAAATTGTCAGTTAACTTAAATATTTCAAGATTTTTATATTTGATTCTGTAAACATGCATGCTGTTTTTGTGTCTTAAAAAATGACCAGATTTATTTCAATTGTCAAACTTTCTGACTTGAATTTGTAAACTATATGTAATATAGAAAAAAATTAAATTCAGTTTATTTATTAAAACCCTTTTTTTAGTGCAGTAGTGTCCAAGTTTTTGATTGTTCGTTTTTTAGTCAATAAGCTTATCAGTCAATATGGTCGCCTGGCCTGTAGACCAACAACTATACTAGTTTTATTGTTAGAAGTTTTGATCGTTGAAATCTCAGTATCTATGAAATAAATAAATTACAGAATGGAAAATGCTTGTACGTTTTTTATGCACTCGTTAATGCGTATCAGAAAACTAACTCGTTCGCTACGCTCGCTCGTTGGTTTTCTGTTACTTCTCAACTCGTGCATAAAAACGGTACGCGCGCATTTTCCATTAAGTAATCTCTATTTAACCGGAAAAATGCCATTTCAATAGCGTTTTTCACGATTACGTAAAATAGATATTGCAAAGCCTTGTGGGATCGATTTGCAGACAAATTTTGTGAACAAAGGCTTTGGATACAAGGAAAATATCAATATTAGTACTAAAACTATAGTTTTTCCATGGATTGGAAAACAAGACAACAAAACATTGCTGCAACATATTAGCATTTATAAAATAAATCAAATAGTACGTACGCTGTGATTGGTTGATAGCCGTATTTGCATGAGGGTATGTAAACACAGTTGTGACGTCATACATTTCGTGTTTTCCCGGTACAAGTTCAAAAATTTACAGTTTTTTTCGAGGTAAAAAACGCCCCCAAAAATGTATTTTGAAGACGAAGTTCCAAATTTTGACATGTGTCAGGGCCACAGGCATAACCCTATGGT